GCTGAAGAGCTGAGGGACAGCGCCCAGGCCCAGAGTTCAAGCCCCACGACCAAAAAAAAAAGCTTAGAGACAGTGCCCAGGCTCTGAGTTTAAGCCCCCGGACTGGCAAAAATAAACACACAAATAAGCAAATTGTTCTATGGGAATCTGCAGTATTCACTGAAAACTCAACAAGTGGTTCTAGGATCCAAAGCTCTTCTCTAGTCTTTCACTTTTAAAGCTTAAGTATCTGTTCTATGGCATGTATCGAATCTGCCCCCTGGTGGTTACCAAATGTTTGACATCTATAAAACGCATACAGATGAATTAGCTAGACCTCTATTACTAGCCTTTAAATAATACAGACATAACCTTTTTTTTTTTGGTCAGTCCTGGGACTCTGTCCCTCAGCTAGTCAACTTAAGGTGAGTGCTCTACCGCTTGAGCCACAGCGCCACTTCTGGTTTTTGAGTGGCTTATTGGAGATAAGAGTCTCACGGAGTTTCCTGCCAGGGCTGGCTTTCAACTGTGATCCGCAGATCTCAGCCTCCTGAGTAGCTAGGATTACAGGTGTGAGCCACTGGCACCTGGCTCAGACATAATCTTTTAATATCAGCATCCATGGCAGTTCCTAACTAGTTGTACTATCATATAATATTCCAATATGATTGACAGTCTTTATTTTTTATTTTATTATTTTTTTGCTAGTCCTGGAGCTTGAACTCTGGGCCTAGGCACTGCCCTTGAACTTCTTTTTTTGAGCTGCTGGCCTGGGTGCTGTCGCTTAGAGTGCTAGATCTACCACTTGAGCCACAGTGTTACTTCCAGTTTTCTGGTGGTTTATTGGAGATAAGAGTCTCATGGACTTTCCTGCCTGGGCTGGTTTTGAACTGAGATCCTCAGATCTTAGCTTTTTGAGTAGCTAGGATTACAGGCATGAGCCACTAGTGCCCAGCTCTAAATGATAGTCTTTAAAAAGTATTAGCATGAATAGTTGGTGTTAGTCAATCTTAATAAAACATATGCATCTTTTAATACTATTAAGCCCTTTAATTCCAAGATTTCTGATTTAGCCCCACTTTGCCCCTTGTTTCAGGATTACTCTTGGAAACCAGCTGGATGGTATCCACCTACTAGATCCAGATGTGGTTGCACGGTTTAAGCAAAGGTATCCAGATGGCATCATCTCTAAACCTAAGAATCTGTAGAATTACCTCCTTAAATCTAGAACCATGGCTTCATAGGCAATACCAGAAGAATATTTGTAAAGTAGCTTTCCCCCCTTATTTAAATAAAGGTTTGTATTGGAGTTAGAATTCTGAGGTAAAATTCTGGCTCTGTTGTGTAACTATGTGTGTTCTTGGGTAACTCATTTCTTGGTATGATGCCTTTTAAGTAAAGTGGGAATGTTAATACTACTCTAGAGGTTATTGTGAGGGTTCAAATGAGTGTATGGAAAACACTGACATGTTCATTACTATAAAACAGGACTTAGAGGGGTTGGAGGCATGGTTCAGTTGGTACAGCACCAGTCAATGAGTGAAACTATCAAGTACCGAGTTTAAGTCCTAGTCTTAGACCTAAATATATAAAGAAAACCCAGGACTACATAGGATCAAAATGATTAGGATTAGTAATACAGGAACACAGTTGATTAAGAAGAGGGTTCTCTAGGAAAGCATTTTTGAGAATTTAAGTTTCAGTTAAGATTATCATCATTAAGGCTATTATGTTCTAAAAAATCTCACCAATTCTGTTACAGCTATGTGGCTTTGCTAATCTATCAGCCTGTAGCTTATTCCTAAGGAAAATCAAATAAGCTAACTTTAGGCTAAATAACCTTATTTTAGTACCTAGAGCATGAAAGAACTGGACTAAATGAAAACACCTCAGAGCAGTCTTTTAAAAGCTATTTCATCAAACACAATAAAACAGTAACATTTTTAGACTTTGGTAAAACCTCTTATACTAATTTTTAAGGATGTAGAGTTCTCTCTTACACTTGGAAACTGTCAACAAATAAACTCCTAAAGCCCACTGTGCATACTTGTATTGAAATCCTTTGTTCTTAAAGCAGAATATTGATGATAGTAATCGTTCTATTTGTTTTAAGAGGGAATCTTTAATATAGTCTTTGATCCCTTTTTTCTGGTATTGGGGATTAAAACCAGGGCCTGCCTACAACTGAGCTATACCCCCTATTCCTCTTATCCCCTTTTAAAATGGATGCACAGAATGGTGTTTCCACCTAGATCAAAGCTGAGTACTTTCCCATCATTTTAATAGTATTTTAGGCAAGTCCTATGAAAATTATACCAGTAAATTTCCTCAACCTCCACCACCAGCCCTACCATCCCCATGATTGGCTTGTCTATACTCCCTTTACTCTTTCCTCTACTATTATCTTGGTATTTCTGCTTACAGTTGAAAGTAAAAAGCAATTCCAGATTACAGCAAACTCAATGGCCCTGCTCCATAACCTGGCCACTGCTGAAAGCAGGAAAGTAGGGGAAGCTTGAAGGAAAGTCTTGGATTGTGATCAGGCACTACCAGAAGCTTGTGTTTCAAAAACAGGCTCTTGGACTTGTTTCCTGCAGGTAAATCTTCACTGGCTTGAGGAACTGGAAAGCCTATTTCACAAACACCACAGTGTTTGGATTTCTAGAGGCCACCCAGGCTAAGAAGACATCCCTAAGATAGAAAGATAACATAAACTTAGATTACAGTCTAAGTACATTCTTCACTTAAACAAGTTCTCAAGTAATTTCCTACCATCTCCACGGTGATAATTAAAAACAAATGATGCCAACCTACTATAGAGGGTTTGAAGCAGGATATAAAAATGTTGTATTTCATGGAGACAGGTAATTCCAAATAAAATTTTGGAAGGGCAAAATTTTCACTTTTTATCCTATATACTGTCCAGCATGTCATTATGCTACTTTATACTTAACCATTCTCCAATGTCTGATTTCATAAGTGATCTGACTTTGCACTAATGATTGAAAAACTAATTGAAATAGCTTATCTATTTTTTTGTGAACTCAAGAACTTATGCTTACTAGGCAAGTGCTTTACCCCTTAAGCCATACTACCCTCCTCCCCCTTTGTTTCCCACCTCCCCCTTTGTTTTTTGCTCTAGTTTTTCAAGGAGGTTCTAGTGATTTGGCCTAGAGCTGGCCTCCTTCTTACAATCTCCCACATAGCTGGAATCACAGTAATGTGCCACTGTGAAGTCTTTTAACTTTTTCTAGGCTGTCTTTGAACCATAATCCTGACAATTTCTTCCTCTTGAATAGCTGAGATGGCATGTGTGAGCTACCATGTTTGACCTACTTATTATTTTTTTTAACAAATATACATAGAGGTATGCAGTTAATGAAGTATGAACTGCTAACTATATCCTTTAGCTAGGTGTCAAATATAAGTTGCTCTTTGCAAAGGGAATTGAACCCAGGCCTTCATACAAGCAAGGCAGGCCCTCTTAGAAATAAACTACATATCTAGTCCTAAATGTAAGTTCTTTTATAGTTTTTTTTTTTTTTGGTCGGTCGTGGGGCTTGAACTCTGGGCCTGGGCATTGTCCCTCAGCTCTTCAACTCAAGGCGAGCGCTCTACAGCGCCACTTCCATTTAAGTTCTTTTAAAGAGCCTCGTCAACCAGTATTATATGTATGGAAGCCTATACTACCTAAGAGTACATTGATTATATGGCTCAAGGTTGCCGTTTCCCAACACAGTTACTAATTGCAGAATTTTAAAAGAACACTAAACTTACCTGCAGTGTTTCACTACACACTCATTGCTGCAGTATTCATTGTCCCAGTCCTTACTCACAACAGGAGGATTCTCGCAACCAGACCTTACACATCGAGGCTGTGGTGAAAGTGTCACAGGTGACCCACTGACCAATTCAACATCCATCTGAGAAGGAGACTCAACCTGTGATAGGAAGAAAGCAACAGGGATGGATTAGATGGGTACCTGCTTAACTAGCTACCTAGTCAATCTCTGGTATCCAATGGAATAAAAAGTTATTAACTAGGGGCTGGGAAGGTGGCTCAGTGGTAGAGCCTTGCATGCATGAGGCCCTGGGTTCGATTCCCCAGCACCACATAAGCAAAAAGAAAAAAAGCCGGAAGTGGCGCTGTGGCTCAAGAGCGCTAGCCTTGAGCTGAAGAGCTGAGGGACAGCACCCAGGTCCAGAGTTCAGGCCCCACGACCGGACCCCCCCCCCAAAAAAAAAAAAAGTTATTAACTTGTTATTACATCACATAGGTCAGTTCTTGCTATCCACCATTAAAGCTGCTAAGTACAGAATGGCATACAGATGCTGGCAATAGTGGAAGGAGGCTCACTAGCCTAGCTTTTTGGTTATTTTGGAGATGGAATATAATGAAGTTTTCTGTTCAAAGCTGACTTCAAACCACAATCCTCTGGATCTCAGCTTCCTGAGTAGCTAGGATTACAGATGTGAGCCATTGGTGCCCAATAATAACTAACATTTGTTTAATGTCTTTTCTAAAATATGTAATGATACTGAGCTTTCCATCTCTCAACATAATATTTAAAACAGGTGGGAAATACCATGTAAGGCCTACAGAATTACTTGGTATACAATGTATGCTTTTTGTTATAAATATCCAAAATGGCCTGTGGCAGAAAGAAAAAGAACCCACCTTATTAGACCATGAAGCTAGCCAGGCTAGTTAAGAAGTATTCTCAAACAAGAAGCCTTTTAATTGTTTATTACCCAAAAGCACTACTGGTATTATCTTGGGTGAGAGGAGTCACTTTTGGGATTGTTGCCAGAATATTTCATCTCACTCCTGGTTACATTACTAACCACCCCTATGTTAAAAAAACAAAAAGGTCTTTCTCTGTATTGGTGGCTCATGTCTATAATCCTAGCTTCTTCGGAGGGTGAGAGCTGAGGATACCAGTTTGAAGCCAGCTTAGGCAAGCTTTGTGAGATTGGTATCTACAATGAATCACCAAAAAGCCAGAAGTGGAGCTCAAATGGTAGAGTTCCAGCCTTGAGCAAAAAAGTTCAGGAATGGCACCTAAGCCCTGAATTCAAACTGTAGTATTGGCATACACAGAAAATTAAATAAATAATGCTCTTTTAGACTGCTACTGGTCTTGACAAAATAAGTCAAATATAGACTCACCTCAGGAACTACATCTGCAATCATCTCACAGATTGTCTCAGGAGAGGTTGCTTCCACTGTATGGGCTTCAGGGCTGTTGTTCATAAGCCGCTCAGGACTGTTTTCTACAGCTGGAGGGACCAAGGTAGTCTGTATTTTCAGAGTGGGTGGAGGTACAATCTTGCTTTGCAGAGGAGGTGGCTGTTGCTGTAAGTTGATTCGGACTTTTTGAGGAGGAGGCTGTTGCATGGCCTGAAGTGGAGGAGGCTGCTGCAGAATGGTAACTTGCTGCTGAGTTGGGGGCTGAGGCATCTGTTGTAATGGAGGGGGTTGTAGTCTGGGTGGGGGCAGTTGCATAGAAGCAGCAGCAGCAGCTGCAGCCTGCAACACTGACCTAGTGACAATCTGGGCTTGTTGGCTGGGCTGGATGGTAGCTGTACTTGTTTGGCCTAATTGGAGCCCCCGGGAGGTCACCACTGTGGCTGGGATAACAGTAACCATCCCTCCTTGAGACATAGTAATAGAAGAGGGCAACATCTGTTTGGTAATAATCAATTTGGTAATATTGGGCTGACCCCCAGGCCCAGAAGATGCCTGGTTTGCTACATAGGATGAAAGAGTAGAGTTAACAACAATGCAAGGGGACAGGGCAGGGGACTCGGATGAGGCTGGTGCTGGAGATGCTGGGTCAACAGCAGCTACAGGAGGTGGTGAAGGAGTCTGAGATGGTGGCACTGGATCCAATTCTACTGTTTCCACAGTGGCCTAAAAAGGCAACAGAGAAGAAATAAAGAATGCTACTAAGAAATATACTCTACATTGCAAGACATTCATTCTAACTACTTTCTAAGAATAGATATCATCAGTTTATGCAACAGCTGTAAGTACAGCCCTTACTTAAGTAAGGGTTGGAACTAATGCCTAAACACAGACTGTTGAGAAAGTTTACATGATAATGAGAGGTGGGGGCAATGTGGAAATTGATTCCAGGACCTCAGAGTTCTGTCACTTGAGTCACACCCCAGTCCTTTTTGTGTGATTTTTCAGGTAAGTCTCTTATGTTTTTATATAAGCCAGCCTTGGGTCAAGATTCTTCTATTTCTAGATCTCAAGTAGCAGGGGCTATAAGCATATAGTGATTCCCTCACCTATCACAGGAGTTACATTCCAGAGAACCCCTGCAATAGGTAAAAATCTGGGCACAGCAGCATTCATATAGTCATCTTTTACTAGATCGTGGTTCACTTATTGCTACTTGACAGCTTTCCACCTGTAGCTAGGATCTCTGGTAACTCCCACAATAGGTGAGGGATCTCTATGTATTTTTTTGTTTTTTGTTTTTTTGGTCATGAGGCTTGAACTCTGGGCCTGCGTGCTGTCCCTCAGCTCTTTAGCTCAAGGCTAGCACTCTTACCACTTGAGCCACAGCGCCACTTCTGTCTTTTTTGTTTATGTGGTGCTGAGGAATCCAACCCAGGGCCTCATGCATGTGAGACAAGCACTCTTCCACTAAGCCACCTTCCCAGCCCCTCTATGTATTTTTTAAAAAAACCCAAAATTCAGTGAAGCTGCAATAAGTGAACTATGATACAGTGAAGGGCAACTGTATGCCACCAGGTCTGGTTTATTTTCATTTTTATTTTATTTTTTTGGTCGTGGGGCTTGAACTTGTTATGGGTGCTGTGCCTGAGCTCTTCAGCTCAAGGGTAGCACTCTACCACTTGAGCCACAGCACCACTTCTGGTTTTCTAGCCATTTATTGGAGAAGGGTCTCATGGACTTTCTTGCCCAGACTGACTTTGAACCATGATCCTCAGATTTCAGCTTCCTGAGTAGCTAGGATTACTGGCGTGAGCCACTGGTACCCAGCTAATGTATGGCTTATTTTTTTTATTTTTTTGTCAGTTGTGGGGCTTGAATTCTGGACCTGGGTGCTGTCCCTCAGCTCTTTAGTTGAAGACTAGCACTCTTACCACTTGAGCCATAGCACCACTTCTGGCTTTTTTTACTTATGTGGTGCTGAGGAATCAAACCCAGGGCTTCATGCAGGCAAGGCAAGCACTCTACCACTGAGCTACCTTCCCAGCCCTGAAATCTGGCTTATTTTAAAAATAGTTTGTTACTAATTTTTACCTGGGCTAGCCTCAAGCTGCAATACTTCTTCTTCTACCTCTTGAATAGTTAGGCTAAGACATATACACCATCATACATAGACCTGTTTTTGTTTCTCTTTCTTTTTTTCTTTTCTTTTTCTGCCATCCTGGACAGCCTGAGTGCTGTCCCTGAGGTTTTCTGCTCAAGGGTACTATTGTATCACTTGAGCCATAGCTCCACTTCCAGCTGAGAGTCTTAAGGATTTTCCTAGGCTGGTTTCAAATCATGATCCACTGCTCTCAGCATCTTGCTTAGCTAGGATTAGAGGCCTGAGCCACTGGCACCTGGCCTGTTTTTACTTTCTATAATTGCTAACAAATGGTTTTTTAAAATCTTTATTGAAAGCCAGGCGCGGTGGCTCATGCCTGTAATCCTAGCTTCTCAGGAGGCTGAGATTTAAGTATCATGGTTCAAAGCCAGTATGGGCAGGAAAGTCCGTGAGACTCTTATCTCCAATAAACCACCAGAAAACCGGAAGTGGCGCTGTGGCTCAAGTGGTAGAGTGCTCGCCTTGAGCTGAAGAGAGCAGGGACAGTACCCCAGCCCAGAGTTCAAGCCCCACAACAGACAAACCCTCAGAAAACTTTATTGATATACAAATCTATTTTAATCCTCTTACCTGACATTCTTGGTTATCTTTATATGCAGCTAGGGCCTTAAGATACTCTTTCTTGGCAGCTTCAGTTTTCCTCTTATACACCTGTAGAAAAGACAAGTTGTTTTTAAAGTTGTTTATAAAGGTATTCCTAGGAAAGATTAATTCTATAATTATTCATCAGTGAATGACAATTCATCTCAGTCTAGTCACTGTAGAAAGCTATCAATCAAGACAATCTTTGACTCACTCCAGTTTTTGAGAGGAACTACTTCTAAACTAAACATCAACTCAAAACATCAACTCATATTCACATGTCCCCCAAACTGCAAGATCAGTCTGCCTGGACTAAGGCTGCCTAACCCAGAAGTTCTCCTTATAGGAAAGTGTTGAACAAAAGATGACCACAAGAATTCCTCCCATCTTACATATTCCTTCTCCCACCAAAAGCTGAAACCTGATTTCCTCTTCTTGTGAATCTGAGCTGGCTCCATGACTTGTTCAACCATTCAGATGTGCCCAGAGTGACACAAATACTTGAGATCTTGAGGTATCTTTGGTTGACTTCTTGGAATGTTACTTTAAGTCCACCATACTGTATATAAGCCAGGCTAGCTTACTTGGAGGACAGACACCACATGAAGGAGAACCAATACCTCCAGCCAAAATAAGTACCAATTACTGGACATAGATCCAGGAATCTAGGCATTAATCATTATAACCATATTCAATTTCAAATATATCTTGTTTTTTTTTTTTTTTTGTCAGTTGTGGGGCTTGAACTCAGAGCCTGATCTTGTATTTTATTTTCTTTTGGGTCTGGTCATGGGCCTGAACTCTGGGCCTGGGTGCTGTTCCTCAACTCTTCAGCTCAAGGCTAGCACTCAACCACTTGAGCCATAGCGCTACTTCTGGCTTTTTTTCTTTCTGGTTATGTGGCGCTGAGGAATCAAACCCAGGGTCTCAGGCATGCAAGGCAAGTGCTCTACCACTAAGCCACCTTCCCAGCCCCCTGATCTTGTATTTTTTTAAATATAGTACTTTCCTGCTCCTCCCCCTACTTCTTTTTTTTTTTTTTTTGGCAGTTGTGGGGCTTGAATTCTGGGCCTGGGTGCTGTCCCTAAGCTCTTCAGCTCAACGCTAGTGCTCTACCTTTTGAGCCACAGTGCCACTTTTAGTTTTCTGGTGGTTTACTGGAGATAAGAGTCTCATAGACTTTCCTGCCTGGGCTGGCTTTGAACTGTGATCCTCAGATCTCAGCCTCCTGAGTTGCTAGGATTACAGGAGTGAGCCACTGGCGCCTGGCACCTTCTTTCTTAAAACTGGATTTTACTATATATCTCAGGCTGGCTTCATCATACTCATCTCTGTTGGGCATACAAGTGTGTGCCACCATACCTAAAGAAGGTCTTAATAAGTTGCTGGCCTCAAACAACAAAGCTCAAAGGATCTTGCTGCCTTATCTTTCCAAGTAACTGGGACTACAGATATCATCCATGGTTGTTTCTTTTTCTTTTTAAATCCAAATTAAATTTAGGGAGATTAACTAGTTTAAGTTTATACTAATCCAGTGAGAAAACACTAAATCACTAAATAAAATTCTAAATCTAAATTTTTATATTTAGCCTCAGTATGCAACTTATCAAGGAATAACCTATTTAATACACATAGAAAAAAAAGGCTTTGGACAATATCTTCTAAGCACAGGTAGCTTATTCCTATAATCCTAGCTATTAAAGAGGATCACAGTTTGAACCCATCTCAGACCAAATAAGTCTAAGAGGCCCCTTCTCAACCAATAGCTGGGTATGTTATTCCAGCTATTGAGGAGGCTGAGATTCGGAAAATGTCAGTTCCAGGCCAACCTAGTAAAAAAAATTCATGAGATTCCCATCTCAACAGAAAATTCTGGGCATGATTGCACATACTTGTCATTACAGCTAACAGGATTGTGGACAAGTCCAACTTAGGCAAAAAATGAGAACTTTATTTCCAAAGTAAGCAGAGCAGCTGGGTACCTGTGGCTTATGTTGTGTAATCCTCACTGGGCAGGAGGCTAGGATCTACAGTTTTTTCTTTCTTTTTTGGTAGGTCATGGGGCATGAACTCTGGGCCTGGGTGCTGTCCCTGTGCTCTTCAGCTCAAGGCTAGCACTCTACCACTTGAGCCTCACGCATGCAAAGCAAGTACTCTACCACTGAGCTACCTTCCCAGCCCAGGATCTATAGTTTGAGGTTTGAAGCTAGCCTAGACCGACAAATCTGAGACTTTTTTTTCTTCTCTTTTAAAATCAGGTTGTAGTACGGGCTGGGAAGGTGGCTCAGTGGTAGAGCGCTTGCCTTGCATGCCTGAGGCCCTGGGTTCGATTCCTCAGCACCACATAAGCAAAAAGAAAAAAGC